ACGCTCATCTCTCACCTACTTCCCAGTGTTAGTGTGTTCATGTGGTTCTCAACAGGCTAAACACATCAATCATAATGTACAAAAAGTGATTTTTCTCTTTAGATTTGAGACCAATTATAATATAAAACTAGTTAATGTACATCAAATATCCAAATTAAAGAATTTTCAAAGATCAAATATTATACTCTCTAATATAAATGTAATTGATATGTTAAATTGATTGCAAAACGCCTAATACTAAAATATACAAACCGGGTTCAAGATCCAAAATCATATCCAAAGCTTGTCTATAATGAGGCACTTGTTCATTAAGTCCAGTCAAATTGAATTTATCTTGAATATAATCTTCATCGACCTATTAGAAAATCACTATTTAAGTATTAACTATACGGTATTATTGTAAAAAAAGATATTTACCTCGCAGAAAAACTCATTTCCTCGCAATCCACAGAACCATGAGATCCAAGAAACTTCTTCGGAACTGCTCATCCTCCTATCATAAAATTAAGAACCTTAAGTATATATACATTTATAATATTGATAGATTATATGATCAAAATGACGAAATGCTAGCAAAAATCTAATACTGATAACGGKTCTTGAGAGAAAACTAACATATTATTAATTGTAAAACACATCAATTTTTGATAGAAAGGTTTAAACGAATATCCAACACGTATAAAGATATGATAATGTATGGCTAAAATATTTTACCTTCTTTTACTTGGGCTAGCCACGCTTTTATGTTGGGCACAATTTCTTAAATAATTGACGTATTTATTCTATAAACAATGATTACTACTATTTTGACTAAGACCTAATGGTTATAACTGAGAAATGTGTAATGACTTATAATAGGAAATTTATTAATTAAATAATGAAATTGGATAAGAAATTTGGTGTGGAAAAGAAATCACAAAACAGTAGAACAGTAAAAAAGTGAACACCAATAATATTCAGTGTGACCAAGTGCTTATTGATTTTATTTTATTTTCTATGGCTGCGGGAGAACTTATATGCTTACCGCTAAAGTATAGCTACACTGTTAACATGAGTATTTATTCGTTATCAGCAGGAAATTACGTATCATCGTATACATTAATTCATATGCTTCGAATCAAAATAAACATTCAACAAGTTGATTGTTGTTATTTATCAAAAATTGTGTTGACATTCCTTTTCAAAACTTCGTTTTTTACTTGTACTTTTTTTCAAACAATTTTTGATTTTATCATGAACTTTTATTTAATTTTTACTGTATTCCATTGATGTCATGGCGAACGGTGGTTGGCGTGAATGTGCAAATTGGCTAACAAGGTGTGGCGCTATCAGATCTGATCATAAAGTCAATTGGCCAGAATCTACAATCGACGATTTAGCACATACACTTAGGGATGGAGTAATTTTATGCAATCTTTTAAACATTCTAGAGCCAGGATGTCTAGGGACAAAAGACATAAATCAAAAACCACAAATGGCTCAAGTAATGATATATCTTTCATAACAACTAAATTGAAAAATTAATAAAATGATACATACATACCTCACATTCATAAATTATATTATAGTCAATAAGGGTTTAAACACTGATTAATACAGCAATTTGTCAT